CAGAGCAAAGAAGAGTGAAGAAAATCAAGATACAAGGAAACAATTTGTCCAAAGGACTAAGGGATCAAGTGAACCTTGGCCTACATGACTCTGAGGCCAGAAGACGCAGATGGTATCTGGCTACTTCCACTGACCACTCTAAAAGGGACCACATGAGAAGTCCTGGACAGTGGGAGAAAAATGGGGAACAACACTGAAAATTATAAAAATGAGCAGGCTTGCTGGTCAAATAAAGACTTACAGAACCCCTGAGACTGTGGCCTTTAGACACCACTGAAGCCTGGAACTGAACTCACTCCCATGGCTCAGTTTTCAGCCAAACAAGACACAGGTCTACAAGGTGAACAATAACACTAAGAAAGTACACACTCCTTAGAACGATCAATCATTTGAGATCAAAAGAGCAGCATTTGCCCCAGAACAAAATTCAGAAAGCAGGAAGGACTGGGAAGAAGGAAGGATGGAAACAGGAAACAGGGAGGAAGTGGGATGAGTGAAATTACATCACGGGGGTGCGACCAATGACGTAAAACAAACGGTATATGGAATTATGAATAAAAAACTGATTTTCTCTGTAAATCTTCACCCAAATCACAATAAATATATAATAAAATATACAATTAAGAAACTAAATCCTGGACCTGGGCCACTCTATGGGTCAGCAGCTGCAGGATATAAAACAAGGTAATTAATTCTGAGTAATTCTGGGTTATAGTCTCATGTCTGCCACTAACTGCAATATTTGGAGTTGGAGGAAGGGACAGGGAGAGAAGCCAATTTTTGTTGGTTGAAACGCCTCAGATGATTCTGAGGCTCTGTTACATTTTTGGAAGCATGTTAAGTATAAAGCATATATAAAGAATGAATACCAGCTACATGACGGGGGGTAAGCCTTTTACCTCATCTGGGATTTATTTTCTTCATGCGCAAAACAAGAAGGCTGAACAGCTCAGTAGATTTCAAACTTCTTTTCTGTGGAATAATTTGTTTAAAGAAAATCATACTTAGACCCCCAACACAGGAATTAAAACAAGACTCCTGTTGCAGCAGGGAGCCTGGATCTTCATCGTTTGTCCATGTCTTTCAACCAGCTGTCACTCTGATAAAGGAAGTTCCACATGAAACAACACAGACCCTTACAACTTCAAGAAGCAAAACTCAAAACCTAAATCCACTGCCACTGAGTCAATTCCAACTCATAGCGACCCCCATTGGGAGTCCAAGGTTGTAAATCTTTACAGAAGTAGATTGCCTCATCTTCCTCCAGAGGAGCAACTGGTGGGTTTGAACTGCTGACCTTCTGGTTAGCAGCCGAATGGCTTCAAGAAGTACACCTTGAAAATCAAGGAAGCAGACAATCTCGGGTGTTCCTTCAAAGTCTATGTTTCAATGGTTCTCAGTGGTGTGAGTCAAGATATTTCTACTCACTGGGAGAGTAAAGCAGTCCATTTTGACCAAGAATTTTGGAGTAATGATGTAGTTACCACAGGCTGGATGAGCCACCTGAGCAGCTACAAAGAGCCACACAAAACAGTTGCTAAATAGCATGTTCTGTTCATTGGCGGAGTAGAAAATGGGAAGCCCAAGCTTCCCAACTTCAGTTCTGAGGAGTGGGCTTCCGAGGGAAAGGCACTCCCACAGTTCAGGACAGTGGATGCAGGAAAATGAAAAGCTCCTGGAATTTGCTCCAGATCCTGTACAAATTCCTAGAGTGACACAGTTCACATCCAGAAATCAGACTTTCCCAGGGGCAGGATTTCTGAATTTCTGCGATTCTTTCTTTTTTTAATAAATTTTGCTTCATGTCCATGTTAAGTTGAGTTTGTGTTTAACTATGAGGAAAAGGTATTAGAAAATGCATTAATTAAAACCTTGTCAAGTATTTTTTCACATTAAATTAGAGTTTACTGAAATAAAACTTCCATTTTGATGAGAATGTCGTTCTGGGCAATAAGCCAGAAGGCATGCCCTGGCATGGAATTTCATTTTGCCTCATGGAGAAGGCATGCTTAAGGAAGCGTGTGGAGTGTATGTGATCTCAGCAGGTGTGTTGGCCCAAAGGTCTGCCCAGATAATGATGCTGATGACTCTCCGAGGAACAGCAAACCAGCACTCTGGCTGCTTCCTTTGTTTATGACCCTGCTGGACCACGGCGGCAGATGAGTGACGGTGGATGTTCTCAGTGTTTTCCTCCCTTGAAGTCCAGAAACCTGGGCAGTCTTGCTTTTCTCCTTTTGAAGGAAGCATATCTCTCATGGGTTTCTGAATTCTCTTTACTAGTCGTAACTGAATTTAGGATTTATTATCCATTTTTACAACTTGGCAACTGTCCCCAAAGGAGTCTGGAAACTCTTTATTCTTCTGTAGAAGAGCTCAGTTTCAGGGGAGGGGACTCTTTCACTTTCACCCAGGTTTACGTTGGCTCTTTACTACCTACTGTATGATTGCTGGGCCAGTCCACCATCTTGCTGTCCCAAGTCTCCCACAGAGCCTTGAAGCAAATTGGAAACAGGCAGTTGTCCTCCAACCAACCTTACAGCCCAACCCAAACAGCTCCTCACACATCGTGAGCCTGCTCAGGACCCCACGGAAGCCCCTGGAGGTGCATCAGCATAAGCTCCCCCTGCCTCTATCCACTCTGCTTTAGCCAAGCCACCCTGAGTTACTAGCGAGATTGTCATCATTTTCTGCCTCGCCATGCAGACGTGGTCCACAGGCACCCCTCCACAGAGAACACGGCCCATCTTAAGCAGGGGAGATGATGTTTTCTACACTAACACGATAGAGTTTTATGGATAACAAGCTCCCTGCTGTCAGAGAGGTCAACTTTGTTCCACTGGATCTTGTTACACAATGGATCCGTTCACTTCATGCTCGGGTGGGAAAAGGTTCATTTACATGTGTGGAGACTAAGGAAACCGAGTCTACACTTGCCCAGTTCAAAACTAACCTAAGAAATGAAGGCTTCGGACATTCAAACGGGCCAAGCTGGGGTACGCACACCACCTGCCCCTCAGCTCAGCCAGGGTCACCTACCAGCATGCTCAGTGGGCTCAGTGTGACGGCCTGGGTTCTCTCCATGCTTGGCCGCAGGGCTGTCCTCCTCCTCACCTTCGGGGCCTACGATAAACTCTGGTCTAGAAGAAAGAAGGCTATCCTCGAGGCTGTCTGTGGGCTCCTGAAACAAAGATGACAAGCAGCCAGATGAGCAGTCCTTTAGGGATGCAAGGAACAGGTCAGCTTAGTTCAACAAGGATTGGGGTGCTGGCTGGGTCCCAGGCCCTGTGCTGAGCTCGAGGGGCAAAGCCAGAGGAGTACTCAGAAGAGACTGGAGCTTATTTCCATAATGGTTTAAGGGAATTTGTATCAGCTGTTACTGAAACATTCTCATTCACCTGAAATAAATATGGAGAAATATCAAAAACATCATCAAATCTTCTTAAGCCTGCTTTCTGTCTCTGTTGTTATCCCCACAATCAATATCCCAGTCTACCACATGACTTCCATCCAGGCCCATTTAATTAAATTAAATATTAATGAGGAGTTCACAGCAATATCTTAAGATCCAAATACTGGTTATCTGGTGAAGTTAAATGAGCAGAAAGAAGAAATTGCTAGTGTGTGAATATGGCTGCCATTTAAAATATCCATCTCTTGTTATCTTCCTATTTTAGCTTTGTTCTTTCTTTCAGGTTCCATCTTCAAATATCCTCTTTTAAATTTATACTCTTTTAAGTAACACCTTCACCAGTAAAAATGTTTTCAAGAATTACTCAACAGCCAGCCAAAAGCAAGAAGCCAAAGAATGATGGGATACAGGAAGGACCCAGGAAGAAAGAAATGAGTGCTCAAACAGTGTTTGGGCAGACTCTGGAGAAATTCTTTGCCAACCACACAGCTTTGCTAAGGCCTGGTCTTGTTCCCAGTTCACCCACAAACAAGACACCCAATCAAATGACAGACTGAGTTCTGTACAGTTTGATAAAGTGAAATCTTGCTTGCCCCATCATGGCTTTTTCATCCACATTCCTGGCTATTGTCTTCGGAAGCAGCAGGGACTGGTGTTATGTTTTCTTACATATCTGCCTAAGCCTCCTGCCAGCCCACCCTCATGCCCTCACCCTACCCTGATGACCTCCACTTATTCCATGAGAACTAAGCAGCTCAATCATTCTAGACATGGTACTATTTTATTGATGGTTGTTGTTGTTATGTGTCGAGTCGGACCCCAATAATAGCGAACCCTCCTTGGGTTTCCGAGGCAGTATTACTACAGAAATAGATTGCCCAACCTTCCTTCCGAGGAGTGGCTGGTGGGTTTGAACCGCCAGCCTTCTGGTTACCAGTCAAGTGTCTTAGGCACTACACTACCAGAGCTCCTTTTGGGAAAGGAAAATTGAGTCCTTTTGCTTCACCTCAAATTTTTATTTTAAGCACAGGACAAATGTCAAAGGCATATCACATGGAGACTTGTTCTTGCTGGCTCTGTTTCTTCACATTTATGCTCTTCCTTGTTTTAGGAAACAATGTTGTCAAACTGGACACAACATCGGAAGTCTGCTAGGGGTAGAATAAAGGGAACATCCCTTCCATCCTCCTTGCCCTCTCATTCCTTTCTTGAATGAGAAGTCTGTGTTTCATCCACCCGCTTCCTCAGCTGGATCTGCCCTCAAACCTCAAGCTACTGTCATTTGTCCTCAGTCTGTGCATACTACCTTCTTCACCAAGTCAGCAAGGACCCCTTAATTTCGGACTCCACTGGGCATCTTTCAGTCTTTCATTTTTCCTCTTTTCAAAATTTGGCATGACCAGCTGCTCCTTCCTCTTCTCATCTATATTCCACCTTGGTTTCTGAGTCAGTGCTCTCTGTCAGTTTTTCTGTTGCATCTCTGGCCTCTTAGGGTTTTTTGTGTGTTTGTTTCCCTTATCTCTCCCCCTTTTTTTCTGTCTTAAGAACTGGGCTTCCCAGAAATCTAGCCTCAGTTGATTCCCTTCTCACTAACATAGTCTCTGCTGCTGAAATCCACACATGGTTTCACCTATCACAATAGACTGAAGAATCTCCATCTGGATGTCTAAAAGCCACCATATCCTACTCCCACGAAAAAATTACTCTTATTACCAGAGCAGAGCCCTGGTGGCACAGTGGTTAAGCACTCAGCTGCTAACTGAAAGGTCACCCATTCAAATCCACCAGCCACTCCACAGAAGGAGGATGCGGTAGTCTACTTCCATAAAGATTACATTCTTGGAAACCCTGTGGAGCAGTTCTACTCTATCCACAGGGTCTCTGTGAGGAGGAATTGAGTCAACAGCAATGGGCTTGGGTTTTTTGGTTTTACTGCTATAGAAATCTTCATTATCAGCTTCCAAGCCAGGAAATATGAATCTATCTAAATCATTTCCCTGACTAAACATCAGTTGGACACCACGTGCTGTTGACTCTCTTCTCCAGACATCTTTCAAGCCTACCTCTTCTCTTCATCACAACCTGCATTGCTTTAGTTCATTCCTTGATTACTCTACTAGCCTTCTGATTAGGTTCCTGTCTCCAGTGTCCAAATCCTCTAGTCTACTCCCTGGAGTACACTGGAAAAAATGAATGTCTCAAATTCATTGAACTATGTCTCTTCCTGAATTGAAATTCTTCAGGGTTTCTCAACTGTATCCAAGACAATATCCAAACTTCCTAGATGGACAAGACAGAGTCTTTAATGAAAATGAATTTAAAATTGAGTCTTTCAAAACTCAGCTTTTACCACTTTCCATCCTCCTTCCTGCTGTAGTAATACTAAACTACTTGCAGCTTCATGAACATATCATTCTGTCCTTTTCTCTATATCATGTAAGCACGTTCTTTTCCAGGTCTGCAAAGTCCTCTCCCCTACTGCCTCCATTTCATTAACTCCCACTATTCCTTCAGATTATAAGCTCAGGTGTCACCTCTTTCAGGAAGACCTCCCTGATCCCCATCTCATTGTCTCTTCTCTGTACTCCTATAGCTACCTTCATCACACCACTACCATAATGCTCATCACAATTTCTTATATTCATTTAAATGTCTTCCTGATTAGACATCAAGTTTCTTGACTTTAATTATCATCTATTATTGTGACTGTTTTATAGTAAGAGCCCAGTGACCACATTAAAAAGACCATACTACTGGCATGTTGAGATGAGTAAGAATAAGTTAAATGGACCAAATGTACTTAAAAATCTGAAGAAATACTTAATTGCATGTATGCAAACTGGAAAAAAGAAGTCACTTTCAACCCTAAACAAGCAACAGGGACAAGGAAGCAAAGAGAAGATGGTAACACTAGCTCAAATAATTGAGGTTCATCTAGTTATGATGATAAGACGGTGATATTTTGATAATATGTGTGTCTTAGATAGAAAATAGACTAAATGGGGAATAGTGAATATATGCAGTATCTAACATATGGCATATATTAGCTGTTTCTTATTTAGGCAATTTTCTTGGAAAGCAGGAAATAAAAGCAACTAGAAAGGGAATGAAGACTTTATTGATTGTTGATGAAGTCAATTGGTTTTACAAACTGAGGTTACCCAGGGATTCTCAGTGTCCACATACAATCTACTTATGTAATATTTGATATGTATATTTCATAGTATTTTCTATTACTTCAACTTGGTAACAGAACTTTATAACAGCAAATACCAGAATTGTTTGGTTTTAGGAAAATGACATGAATGGAGGTAATTCAAGCCACTCAATAGAATTCTGTATAGTTTGGTTCCATTTTGTATTACTTTCCAGAAGCCTGAGTTGGTGGAAGCAACAGGAAAACTTTCTTTTAACACAGTCTCACATATAACCCAGCATGGAGCATAAGATAATACTGGAGGAAGACTCCATCACACAAGCTACTGCTGTCTTTATTACTATCATACACAAGTCATCTCATTCCTTCAACTGCTTACCACCAGCCGGCTTTCTTCTTTGGGAGCTAGTCTCTCCAGGAGTTCACAAGCAAGCTGATAGCAGAGAATACTAGACTGACATAAGTTACACTCGATTGCTTTTTCATCCTTCTGGCAGGTGTGGGAGCCCCCCCAGGGGGCTTGGAAGACATTGTTTATAATGGAAATAATGTCCTTCGACAAACTGTGCTCTAAACCCATCGTGATCCCATCATCTTGCAACTCCATCTGAAAGACATCCAAAAGAAGACCAAAAAGGGGACAAAGAAAAGAAATTTGGTCCTTGTATCCAATATTTCACTGGCATACTACTTGTGGATAATTTTCACTAACTGATAGCAACGTTAAATTATTTAAAGACAACACAGGCTTCTAGATCATGACTATAAGTTGTTTTCTGTGAATTCACCTATAAGAAATATGAATATAAGATAAAATATTGAGAATTATTTTTAAGTCCTGTAGAATATTTAAAAGAGCTATCTTTTAAACTCATTGGTTTGTGAGATTTTACACATTTTTAAAATGCTGCTCCCTCACCTATTGCTCAGGTCTTTAGTTCCTAAATACTAATATCCACTAAAAGGTATCAGGGATCCTTGCAGAAATGGCTGATTCCAAGGCTGGGGCTAGAAAAATATAAGATGAACCTGGAACATCTTGTCATCCCCAAATTAAATAAGTACTCAAAAAATGATGAGGAAATGTCAAAAGAACATAGGCGCCCATGTGAAGAGATTCCTACTGGGCAAATATGGGATAATAGAAGCATCAAAATAAATAATCATAGCAACAAATTACACCCCATTGAATAAAATAAGAATCCATGAGTACATGCTGATATAAGTAGGTGTCGTGAGTTGAATTGTGTCCCCAAAAAATAAAGGTTGACTTTGCATGGCCATGATTCTCAGTGGTTTGACAGTTATGTAATGATGTAGTTTAGCAGTTATATATAAGGATGTAATCATCCCCCATGATGTGATCTGATGTGACCAGTTAGTCAGTTGTAAGAGGACTGGGAATGCACACCTTTACTCAGGTCACAGTCCTGATTTGATGCAAGGGGAGTTTTCCTGGGGTGTGACCTGCATCATCTTGTATCATACAAGAATTAAAAGGTGGTAGTAGAAAGTCAAGATCAAAAGGGCCTCAGTACCCCCAAGAATGAAGAGCTGGGAGCAGAGCATATCATTTGGACCCAGGGTCTCTGTGCTGAGAACCTCCTAGACCCAAGGGTAGACTGATGCTAAGATACATGGAGACTGTCAAGGAACACTGTGCTCACAGATGTTGAAAGGAGACAAGGACCTTCCACTAGAGCTGACAGAGAGAGAAAGCCTTCCACTAGACCTGGTGCCCTGAGGTTGGACTTCTAGCCTCCACTACTGTGAAAGAATAAAGTTCTGTTTGTTAAAGCCATTTCTGTTACAGCAGCACTGGATAACTACTGAAGGTACCACAGACTGCTAGAAAAATGAACAAATCTGTCTTGGAGGAAGTATAGCCAGAATCCTCCTGAAGCAAGAATGGCGCAACTTCGTCTATCATACTTTGGTCATGTTGTCAGAGAGGACCAATCCCTAGAGAAGAATATCATGTTGGTGTAGTGGAGGGTCAGTGACAAAGGGGAAGGCCCTCAGCAATACTGATGGACACAGTGGCTGCAACGATGGGCTCAGACACAGCAATGATTGTGAGGATGGTGCAGGACCAGGCAGTGTTTCCTTCTGTTGTACACAGGGTCACTGTGGGTCCCAACTGACTAGCCAGCACCTAACAACGACAACCAGATAACTAAGACAGTAGGTAAGCAAATAAATGCATAGGTGAGATAAAAGGGAAATCTCTTCCTTCAGGATAATGCCATCTAAAAAATTTAGAAGAAATGATGTTGTTGTTCTTATGTGCCATCGAGTCAGTCCCAACTCATAGCAACCCCTCCTTGGGTTTCTGAGGCAGTATCACTACGGAAGTCGGATTGCCCAACCTTCCTTTCAAGGAGTGGCTGGTAGGTTTGAACCGCCAGCCTTCTGGTTAGCAGTCAAGTGCCTTAGGCACTATGCTACCAGAAGAAATTATAGAATTTGAAAATTACCATTTGGCAACCAAGGTAGGAATAATTGATTTAAAGAAAAACACCAAACTCACTGCCATTGAGTCATTTCTGACTCATAGAGACCTCCATTGGGTTTCCAAGGCTGTACATCTTTACAGAAGCAGATCACCCAGTCTTCCTTCCACAGAGCAGCTGGTGGGTTTGAACCACTGACCTTCTGGTTAGCAGTCAAGTGCCTTATCCACTATACCACCAGAACTCCTTAATAATTGATTTAGGCATGAATTACCCATAAATGCTAAAACGAGTAGGTGACAGTCTGATGAGAAATAGTAAATTTCATAGTCTTAAAGATCTCCCCACAATTTACTTAATAATTCAAAGAGGAAAATAATGAGTCTATAGTGGAGAAACTTGGCAGAACTCCTAAACCAAGTGATCAGAGTTAACCAAGTGGCAAAGGTTAATGGAACAAATGTGTCTCCTGTTATCGACTGAAAAGAACACAGCATCACTTCTGTGGTATTCCTGCCAAAAATGCATGGCCCAAATCAATCATAAGGAAACATCAGAAGAAAATTGAGGTATACCTATAAAATAACTGGACCATTCTCTTCAAAAATGTCAATGACATGAGAGACAAAAAAAAATGACTGATGAATAGCTGCAGATGAAAGAAGACTAAAGAGACAGGACTAATTGCAACAAGTAATCCTGGATTGTATCCTGGATCAAAGAAAAGTTTTTCTTTTGCTATAAAGGTAAAATTATTATAATTAGATCAGTTAAAGTGAATAATTTCTATAAGTTAGATAATATACTATAGTTTGTGGCAACGTTAATTTCAGGATTTTGATAACTATACCACAGTTATGTAAGAGAATATCCTTATTTTTTAGATAATCACACTAAAATGTTTAGTGGTTAAAGTTGCATGTCTGCAACTTATTCTCAAATGGTTCATAAAAATTATGCACACGTGTAAATACACATGTAGAGAAAGAGAAGTAAACACGGTAATATGTAACATCTAAGGAATCTGGTACCAAACAGTGTTTCTTTGCTATTCACAAGGTTTTCCCTGGCCAATTCTTTCAGAAGTGGACGGCCTCTTCCTTCTTCCTAGTCTGTCTCAGTCTATAAGCT